ATATTTACAATATAAAATTGACGTGCCTTCAAGTAAGTACTTGTCCATAGCGTTGTTGTGTTTCACGACATCAGAGTATTACATCGCATTTCATAAGTAACATTGCTGCACAGGTAAATGGGTTCTTAAAATTACTGCAGTTAAATAAAAAATAAATTCATACCACTTTTACGAGAATCGGTTTAGTATCTACTAATACAGTTCTAAATCTTCGATTCGATACACTGCATACTAGCGCCACTGCAGAATCTGAATAATATAATGATGCTATATTTAGCTGCTGCAACTAGGAGAGAGTGAACCTGGTTTTTTTTGTAAGACAAAATTGTTGCCCGATGTGCTGAGTGTCCGGTGAAAAGTATCATTAGGTGAAAACTTCGTTTACCATCGATTACGTCTTGGTACTCTGGTGTGTGATGTTGGAAAACAATCCACAAGCGTAATTCGTTCCAAATACCCTAACCTCTCCCATCGTGTCCAATGATAATTTGTTGTGGCAGTACTCTTACTCTCGTTGTGGATCATAAGTACGCAAAATCGTACTTTTAAAGTGGGTGAGCCTGTTTTACAAATCGCAGTCACGTCCCCCAAAGCAATTAAAACAACGCCAGCCAAAACCATTCATTTCATTTTTTTGCTGGTCCTGTAACCGCGATGTCGACGTGCTTCTGTCGTGAACCAAAAAGCCAACGCCGTTGTACCCGAAGAGAACGGAATGTTCCGGTTACCTTAAGTCTAACGCAAGATTAGCACACGCGTGCAGGAGAAACTGCGAACTTTATTTTGTTAATAGCAGTTTTATTGTTATTATATCTTATTAGAATAAAGTATAATATGAACTCCGAGCGATACTATTGGCGTCGTCTAGGGAGGTGCAGGTGGCAGCGGATGGTTGGAGATAAATGATTAACGGTTGACATGCTATATTATGCTCAGTCTTAAACCACATTATTTTATCAACAGTTTTGTTTTCAATTTTACGAACAGATTTTACAGTCATCTATAATAATAGCACGACATAAATAATATTTCAGTTTTAAGCACCAATCGGTAAATACATATAACATAATAATAATATAATCAGATTTCTCTGGTGTATATCCCGTCGGTGGTTTTAAGTGCTACGCGACAAAACTGATCGTATTTAAAGATAATAATGTATATTATTATATTGACTGCACAGATCGGTGCATACTTAGGTCATACTATTATACACATATACTGAATGGTTTATTATCTCGAAGCAATATTGGGCCCTCATTGTCACCACCACTGCGCATGTCCATAAGCTGATAAGTATGAATAGCTGAATAGTACCCATCCGGTATGTACCTGTGTTAAAGCTGATAATTATTTTAACATAGGTACATACCGGATGGGTACTATTAGTGGTATATACCCTCCTTCCCCGCTCCATCGATATGATTCCTAACGCATGCGAAACAGACACTTTGGGGCCAAATTCTAAGCTTCACGTTCCGACTGTTTGTGATATATACAATAGATTAATCCGCTGTGTACGATCCAAAGGTGTAAAGATGGTATAGGTCGACGTTCGTCGTCTTTCATCGTCCGCAACTGGGTCGACGTTTCGAAACAACGAACCTAACCTAACGACAACTATAAACAAAAAGTGTCACAGCTGGGTGGCTTCTTTTTAGCAGCCAACTCATGTTAATAAAACTATGATTCACTCTCTTACGAGAGAGGCTTATGCCTAATGTAAAAAAAAACAATAATTTACTGATTGATATTTCTTATTAATAATAAAATTTAATGAACCGGCAATAGTTACGATGATTGAACATGTTCAATTGAATTATTTACGGTAGTACGATGCGATAATGTATCAAACGAATAGTGGAACAATAGACGTTTCTGCGTACCTAACCTAACCAGAAATAATGGTAAACGTATAGACGTGGAATACGACGCACCGTAGACGGATTATTATCAAACACGAAACGATTCGCATAGAGCGGAAACTATGCGTGTGGGCGTGGGCCGTGTGGTGTATAATATTTTATGTATATAATATAGCCATTGTTACCCTAGGCTTTGATACTACAAATCTTTGACGAAACACTACGTTCGTATATTATATTCGGTCATTCAAATTTAATATGTTTCACTGTGAACTGCGAACATGAACATATTATAACAGTCTTCTAATCCAGTGTGAAACAATAAAGTCGCTTTGGAGTTAATTTAAAAAAAAAACAACAAGTATAAACAGTATGAACATAAGGTTAATTATACAAAAATAATTTACTACAATATACAAATATAGAAATGCTCTTACTGTGCGCGCTATCTACTCTAAATCCACTACAAGAATTACGATCATTAAAAATTGTTAAAGTCCAACATTGAATAAATACTCAAGAATTATACCTATTAGGTTATCTTAAAATGTAATTGCAGATTTCAATATTTCGTATGGTATAAATTATATATAAAATAATGTTAAGAAGATTACGGTTACAACTTTTGAAGTACTGTCTCTCCCACTACTCCCCATGCAAACAATCTTCAGCAAAAGTTTTGGCTATTTCCTATGTTACTATTGAATTTGCATGACGAAATGAGTAGAGATGCCTTTGGTATTTCCAATGTAGCATTATATATTTACATATTTTATAGGTACCTAACCTAACTATCACGAAAATATATTCAATTTCCCCGTAAACCACTGCGGAGGAATAATAAACAATTTGTAAAAGGATAGTCGTAGTATGAGGAAAAGAAAAAAGCACACGACTATCGTGCCTTTGACATATTACCGAATACTTTAAAATAAAAGCTATTTGCATGTAACGTTTTAATTTAAACATTCCGGCGGGGCACCAGCTGACATTTTATCGGAGAGAAGATGTTTTATTTTTTCTTTGAAAATTCGATACAAAGGTTTTCGGAGGAAAAAAAATAAAGAATATAAGAAGAAATAAATAAATTACGTTTAGTTAGGTTTTCGAATAAAGTCGGGCAATAGATCATATTTCTGTAAGACACGGCGAGACCGGCAGGAAAAACTTTAAAGCAAAGATTCTTGACTGGCACTACGTGATTCGAATTTGATACTGCGCGTGGAGACGGGAAAAAATAAAGGCAAGGGGAAAAAAATCTAGCGGTGGCTATTATTGTACGCGTACCGCATCCCGCCACCACCACCCTCTCATCACACACCGGACATATTATATAATAATACTGTGGCGAAACCGTTTTTGAAAAATGATTTCGTACATTAGATCGTATAGCCACTACCTGCCCTACAGTGCCTGTATGGTAAATGTACATATATAATATATATATATATCATATAATACGTCTCCGGGACGAGCCTGACCCTGAGTCGGATAAAATATTGCTACTGTCCGTCTCCCAAGCGCTCCTCGCCCGCGAGTTTATGGTCGTCGCGTCTTTTCGCGGTCCGGAGCGGATGATGACAAAAATGCCCATCAATTGCCCGCCTCACTCTTCGCTCACCACTTCCCCGCCGCTTCACCATGGTATATTACGTCCTTTTGCCGGAGAGCAATATTCAAATAACCGCCTTTGCTGCATAGCCAGACCGTATTATATAATAATGTGTAATAATATACAGTATAGTTCGATAATAACAACAATAATGATAATATATTATTTTATTGCCGGTTTGTTTTAAAATAATGTTTATTATTAGGAATCATTATTAAGATTCAATGCAACGTGCATTATTTTTTAGGTGTTTTGGGACAATGTGCAATCAATAATTTCATAATTCGTTTCATGTAACAGTTGAAAGGTACCCACTTCAAAGGTGAAATTTTAAATTTTAAGTTTTTCCGTGTTTTTCCATTTTCATATTTTTTATTATTTTCTAGTAGGTAATTGTATTAATTTTTAGTGCGTATATTAAATAATAAATTACGAGTACGAGCTTTAATCGAAAATTAAATTACAAATAATAATTATTAATGATAATATTAATATTTATTATTATTAATAGTTTATTAAATTGTAAATTTTCAAAACATTATATCAATAAATACAGTTAAATTATGTTTGGTCATAAAGTTTTACGGTATTTTTCATCGGTATCAAAATATGTCCTTCGTTCAATATTTGAATATGATAATGCCTTCATCTATCTCCAACAATTGTTGGACATGACGTCTACCCTCTACGTCAGGGGTTAAAAACAAATAACAACTACAATATTGTTCAGTTGGAAATACAACGCAATCGCATTTATTTCCTGTATATTGTTTATTTGTTGTGCGTACTTCGTGTCTAAGTTTATTATTTTGTTTCTGTAAAATTGTTAATTTAGTTATGAGATAAAGAAGTGTTGAAAATTCCAAAAGTTAAACCATGGTTTAATTATCATTTGCCTATAAAAAAGTGATAATTTTTTACAGGCAATCGGGCTTGAAAAGGCATTTTTTAGTGCCATTTTTGTTTATTTCGCAGATTATTTTTGGAAGTTTTTGAGGCATTTAAATATAGGCCTTAATTACTATTACTATCATTTCGTCGGTCAAAAATGTCGCTGATGGTCGTTATCAAAGCTAGATTTACGAATATAAACAATATTATTATGGAGAAGTGGTTTATTTATATTTTAAGCTGACCATTTTTTATTTTTTTTCCACATAGTTATAAGTCTATAACAGTACTCGATTTCGGCGCCGTAACTATTTGCGTGTTAAGAACTTTTAATATTATACATGTAAGTAAGCCACATATAGGCTCGTCCCGATTACACGCAAAGCGATTTTTTGCCCTCCATGTGTTTCATTTAATTTCACAGGAATTGACGTTTATGATATTTTTATACGCCTGCACGTCATGACTTAAACATATATATTACTAGGTAGGTGTACTCACTATATTATATTATATTTTTGAAATCGTTCGTGTTCTTACCTGGAACAAAAAAAAATAAAAATAAAAATAAGGTTAATTATTGGGCGGCGAACGTAATTATTATTACAACAATTGCATAATATTAAGGCTAAAATAAAGTAATTTATAAGAACGAAAAAAAACACGAAATGTGCACACTACTAAAGCTGTTTTGACGGCGATAACCGAAAACTTTTTATTTTTAATAGCGCTGATAACGAATGCATAATATGCGCCATAACGACTTGGAGAGGATTTCAGGCAACAATATCGGCGAACGCACTTAAGCCTACTGCAAACAATATAATCGTCGAGCCGTCAGCTGTAACAGCAGTGTATATAATAATATACAACGCATAAGTCCCGAACAAATAATAATTGCGACCGCCGGATAGGTTACCAATACTTGACGACGACAAAACGAAGAGGACTTCTAGAGTTTATTGCTCACCAGCAGTTTCGAATCGAATCAACTGAATTCAAAATATGTGAGTACATAATACAATCGTTTGCTTTATTTTAATTTGACACAATTTACTATACGTTCCAGCGCCAACACGAAAATCCGTTTGAGTTTTTCAAGACAAAATGTATAATATTTCAACACATTATACCAGCGGTACGCACACTGTTGTATGCGTACCACTGGAGGCACGCACGAGGCTACACGGAGGTAGTACGGATAAATTAATATTTTTAATTATGTTTATCACCGACTTAATATCGATTTACGTTTTGTATAGGTAGGTACTTAACATACTGAATAAAATTAATTACATTTAACTAGATCGTTATTTTTATACAATATTGTTGATGACTGTTAATGAGAGATGAATTGGCAATTTGTTTGTGTTTATAATATGTGAATAAAGTTCTATTCTTAGTAATAAGCGGTACATAACGGATCCGTAATGCACATATAAGTGGTATGCAAAAAAAAAGTTTGAAAATGACTGATTTATAATTTATATTATACTATTTTGCATTGACAAGTTCACTTTTATTTACGCATATTTAATTTTCGACGATAAACACAATATCATATGTATAATGATACTATATTAACACAGTCACATGAAACACATGATATTATGATAAATTATGTTTAGAATTTCGTGCAAGGAACGCATAACCGTCGGTAAAATACGACGCGTCCAACACTTTAGATTACCTGCGTAGTATCTTATGATGTAAGTACGAATGGCATTGCACTATATATATTATTATTATTATGCACGGCGCCGCTGTAACGCAATACTTTACATTACACAATTATATTTCAAGGAAATTTAATACCTTTGGACAAATTTCGGGAAGAATGATAATAATAACATGGCAAGCTTTTGAGTTTATAAAATTGTGTATATTTATACGACACGTGAGCATAATGCTCGGAGGAGACGAACTCACTATGAAAGAACGTCTTTTTGGCCATTTCATAATGTATTATACAACAAGTCGTGTACAGTTATATCACATACGGTCACGCATAAAATATTATACCGTCCGTTGCGTGTTCATTTCGTTTGGATGTATTTTTAATTTTTTTTTTTCATATTTTGTTATAAAGATTTGACAACTTTTGTAATTAGCTTGAAAAAATATTTAATATTAATATTATGCTACTTAATAAGAACGAACACATTGGTTTCACTAGATTGAGTTATACACGTCAATATAATATTATTAATATTACTATTTGAGGTTATATTAGTATTTTGTTTTTTTCTGAGCACAATAATTACAATAACAATGAGGATAAAATAAAACCCAACGAATATAGATTGGCCGTAAAGTTCCGAGCAATATAAATATTATGAGGGGAAAAAATGTAGAATAAAATAGTGCGGACATTTTCGTCGCCGTTATTATAAAGTGTTATATCGTGTTTTATCGGACACCGTTTTCGAAAATATAACTCACTTTTCGAAAGCTCTTTTCGGACGCCGCCTTTAGGTGATAAATAAAACAGTTCATCCGGATGAAACTGACCGTCCCGTCCACGCAATAGAATATTTGAATAATGTATATTTTTCTCGAATATATTTTTACTGGAATTCAATATATTATAGACGCATATCGGTATGGTAGAACCGCCGGGGCAAATATCTATATATATACTGTCACGTTTGCACGCGACGTAGACACAACATTCTGCTCGTCCGACGGGAACAAACGTATTGTAAAAATGTATTATAATATTCCGTTTGAACGTCGTGAAGAAAACGGCTTTTTTAAAAGACGCGTAGGCCGGCTCGGCGGGTTCGATCACGACTCTTTTAAGAATGCCATTCCAAATAATATATTATAAGCCGCGTCTCTGTAGTTGCATACATTCGCGAATATACGCGTGACAGACGGACAAAAAAAACGTCATCAGAGCGCAACTGACTTTCACCCCGCCTATAGCGACTACAGCCACGGGAATTCGACGCCTATAATAATATTGTTTATATCGCACGATAATACAGGAACTTATCGAATTAATACTCTGACGAACAAGGGGCCATCGGCAACATTTTTCACAAACAGCCCGCCACGACTAGTTTGACGCCGTCGCACACGTCCGATTTGTCGGCGAAATCTGCATAATCAATAACAATCGGCACGGTAAGCCCCACCGTCCCTGCAGGGAGTCGGAACTATCGGTTAAGTGGTCGAGGGGACCAAAAATAGAAACGATAAACACATCAAATCTAGAGCATCTATGTGTATATATATACAGAGTGCTTCAAAAACGAATATCGCCCCAATATATGCTACTCAGTGAAGTGACTTATGAACAAAATTTTCAAAATCGTGGCTTGTAGTAACTACCCCACAGTTTAGTCATTACTCGTAAGTGTTGATACCTTTTTATATTGGCTGACACCTGTATAATACACCTTATAATAATTGTCTAGAACTTAAAGAATATAGATTAGGCATCTATTTAACGCTGAAACAATAAGTCATACATCATTTTATTTTTCAATTTCTACACCAAATTCCACATGTTACCTTGATAGGTTATCTTGACGTTACCGTAGCCCCACAAAATATGGGGCTGAAACCAAGGAACAAATCGTTTCGCCTAGCAGACATCGTAGGGACTACGATGGAATATATATANGACATCGTAGGGACTACGATGGAATATATATATATAGTTTTTAAATTTAAGCTTCGTTATGTTAAGAATAAATCATCAAGTTTTTAGGAAGTAAAATATTTTTAACATTTTGGTTTGGGCCACTACACAAAGAGTATGTTTTCATTGTCATTATTATTATTATTATTATTATCATCATCATGGTGACATTTTTCGTAGAAACACCCGTTACAACGTTCGTGCTTTCGACAGTACATCTCTAATATTACATAAACGTTATCATTTCGATACTATAATATTATGTTTATGAAATAGTGTTTTGTTCATGGATGTACGTGGTATCGAGACATTGTCGGTGTGTATATATACATAATAAGTTGACATGTAAAGTCCCATCGAGATTTTCAATTTGCGCGAAATGACTGCAAAGTTTTTGCGAACATAGTTTCAAAGATTTACGGACAACGAAAATGATAATAACTATTGCCATCGAAACAATAATTATTAAAGAACCGGGCGGAGAGTCAGTGTACTATATACTTCAAAGCACTGCTGTAAGTGTGTATGTGTGTGTGTGTGTGTGTGTGTGTGTGTGTGTGTGTGTATGGCATAGTAGAAAAGTGGAAGGTATAGGAAAAGTTTTTAAAAGGAAATGTTCAGTAGCCCCGGCCTATTCTAGAGACTCTTATATAAGATAAGTTTGTCGATTTGTTTTCCTTTCTCTTTAATTGAACTTTTTTCGGGATTTGGTAAGGATGGGAAAACGGGAATGGGGAGGGGGCATAAAATATTAGAAGTCATTAATATACACCACCGCCAACACCGGGTTATGTCGAACGCGTCGACTTGTTTGCAGCGGAAAAAATATGAGATGCGGGTGATTTTTTTTGTATTTCTCCTCTGCACCACGACTCACCGTCCCTCTATCGGAGGCAGTAATTACGAAGACACCCGAAAAATAAATTATATCGATGATGATGGAGCTAGGATATCATGACGAGCGGATGACAAGGCGTTATTAAAAACGACGTTCGTCGGTGAATGGAATTCGAGGCACTTCCATATACGTAATATAATATATAGTATAATATAAATCATGATGTACTCATATTATTAAACCACATATTTTCGTCATTCGTTCGAGCGCGGACATTTTCACGCCAATACCACCTCGTCCCTCTACCCTCCGAAAACTACGGTTTTCCGTATGCCGGGACGAAGCACGATATTATATATACGTATACCAGATCCGAGACTCAAGGACAAGGCGCCGTTCGGCATTCGACTAAGCATTTAAGCGGGATCCAAAAAGCAGGTGAAATATTTGAGCAGCGGGGATTCCGATCGCTTCTGACGAATTCCAGGCATCGGCAGCGATGGCGAGGTGACGATCGACTATACGGAGGAGCGAAGTATTTGGTGGTCCGAATATATAATATACAAGCAACCCAGATAAAAGGATCGTATATTGTATTTTACGCCCCCGCCGTAATAGGTAAATTGCGTAAACACGTATACTAGGGTCATTTGCCCCGTTATTATTCAATAGAGACGACGGCGATGACGACGAAGATCGGTTCGGAATTTGTAATCCAATATTCCGTATATACATGGGACCGCAGAACGAATAATAAGAACGTAAAAAATTCCGAACTGAGAAAATCGAATTCGAATAATTCTGGAGTCATAGACGGGTAATGAAATTATTTCCTATGTTATCGAACACCTCTACGGAGGCGTATCATGATATTATGTGGTGTAAAGGACGTACCTGCAGTCTACTTACAATTCAAAGGCGCCGTACGCACAGATGAGGCTGCAGTATTTTATAATATTATCCCACGGTGCAGCGAAATACGCGTTGAGCAATTCTATAACGAAATTTGCGCTGTGCCGAGAAGATATAATTATTGTAATACAATCATATTGACGACGACATCGTTCGCGTATTGTAGGAAAGTCGTCGTAAGACAAGCCTTGTAACCACCTCGTCATCTATTCTCGCCGCTCTTCAAAGTATCCTCGAAATTGGCTTATTCCCGACGTTTGTGATGAATTATTACTGGTTTTTCGATGGATGAAAAGTTCAGTAGACTTTAAATCGACTTAACGACATAAGCAAGAAATAGCGGCGTATTATGGACTTATATTATTTAGTGAGAGATGCAATTTTTACAAACACCGATATGATTGGATCGTTGGTACATAAAGTCGATAGAATAAAGAAGTACCACTTCTTTACAATGGACCAATCGTGTGAATCGTCGTAAATAATAAATGATTATAATATTATATGAACGGAAAATGCTGAGTGGAATTATAATATATTATGTACACCGAAAATATAAACTACATTTTTATTCAGAACGACATTCAACTGAATTTAACTGTTCGCTGTTTAAATATTGCAGCAGTTATATATGTATATTATACATACCTACCTATACCACCAATTCGCGGAAAATGCATAATTAAATTTCATTATACTGCCCTCGTTATAGTCGGAAACACGACTTTTTAAGAATTTAATACCTATTCAACATCATAAATCAATATTATATCAACATTAAGTTTGCAAGTATAACACTATGCCAATATCCGCATCGTTTAAAGTTACTGTGAACGTTTACTGTGTGATCGTTTTAGTATTATGTAATCATCATCCTAAATTTGAGTTACAACGTAGGTACGGT